CAACCCCACAACCCATGACCTCTGTGTGCGTCGCGTACCGCTCAAGGACATTAAGCCCGCCCTGCTGGAAAAGCCAGGCCGACTGACCGAGGCGTTTTGCGCCGGAGTGTGGAGTGGATTCGGTGCGTCACATACACCCACCCGCCCAGCCTATTATCAGCATAATAAACTGGACAAACTATCTAACACCTTAATCAATTGAATTAAACAAACAGGATACGCCTATCAACGCCGCTACCTCTCCAAGAAATACGAAGGCCCCGAAACCGCTTCTCACCTCTGGACGCGCGCGGACCTACGCGCCGCGACATACGACGTGGGCACGCTGATCACAGATCACTTCGAAGTGGTAGAAAAGACGCCGGAGCGCATTGTCGTGCGGTGCGGAGATTCGCCCCGCAAGAAGGACGTACGGGAATCGGATGGATTGTTTGAGATTTCGACGGAGGTCAAGCCCCAAGAGGGAGTTGCGGAGTTCCGCCTCAAGAGTCTGTTCTTCCAAGGCAAGGGGAAGGCGGAGAGTGAGCCGATGCCCTCGCATGTGGTCTGGTTGCATCAGCAGTATACGAAATTGTGGTTGGAGACGGCGTTGGGAAATATTTGGCGGTAATTCGTACTTGAGGGATGGAGATATCTGTAGTGTGGAATGGGCATCTAATAGATCAGTTGCCGCATATATTAATTCGATGGAGACTCGCACCACTAGCTATCTACTTACCTGTCACACAGAGATTACGGCAGCCTAACAACCCAAGTAGTGCATACTGAACAAGAACCTAGATCACTATGCAGCAACAGCAATACTAAGAGCAAGGGTCACAGGAGCCACCGACAGTTCCAACCAAACCTGAACTTGATCGATATACTTTGCCACGAGATTAAGCATCAAGCCTAGGAGGCACCACCGCTATGAAATATACATTGACCAAGGACATTACCCTTGATAAGTATACGTACGAACTAATGCAACCCCGCCTTCCGTTCCTAAAGATACGGTACCTACGCCAAAGTAAAGAGAAGCAAGAAAAAAAAAAGAAAGTATAACCAAGACAGTCCATTCCTGCGGACGTCACCGAGCAGACTGGCATGCCTTAATGAAGAAAATGTTCCATTGTTCAAAGGTAACTACTAGGAGCAGATTGCGAATCATATAATTTTCTGTTGCGATATATATATTGAACGGATTTGACTACAGTAGTGGACGGATACTCTGCATGTAACAGTACGGTGAGACCGTTCTCACCTGCGGATTTCTCGGAAAGGATAACGGGTGATATATCCTGGTGGGAGGTCAAATATGTAATAGAAGAAGATGACTATTTAGATAATTTATATCATGATCGAGCATAAGATAAGCTTCAAAGGCCACGGTGGAGCATAAAATCTTGTTCACTGCGAGAAATGGTAGGATATCTTATTATTAAATGGTTATTGAGACCAACGATTGAAAGTTGATTATTCTTATAGGATCATTCTATTATGTCAACTACACAGATATACATCGAAGAAGATAGTATAGTATAAGGTTATTAATTAGTGGAGTATAACTTTTATACTAATGCAATACAATGTAGCGGGGATATAATCAAGCAGAGGTCTATGCACCAGCAGGCACACAGGGGGTATGTATGGAAAGGGGGAAATATGGGTATGATATGGGCGAGGAAAGAAACGACAAAAGTGGGCGGTGGATGCACCAAACCCCACATATACACCGCTTCCTTAATGAACCAAAAAAAGAGACAAGGTAGTAATGGTGCAATCAGGATGAGAGGTTCTATTCAAACCGATGTATGTATGTATGTAATATGGTAATGTACACGCAAACCATCGACAGTCTAGAAGACCATACCCGAGACCTGTTTGACCTTGGCAACATTAATGTTCTTGATCATGACGATCCAGATAAAGGACAGAGCCATGAGACCCGTTCCAACGGCCAACATGCGCGTCTGGGCATATCCATAGGCATGCTGGATAGCAATGCGGGTAGCACTACCAGTCGGGTAACTCAGCTGAGTGTCCAGGTCCTCGTAGATGTTGTAGAGGTTGGACATGGCTGATTCAGGCAGGTAGCGGATAAGCGCCTTCTCGAAGGTGTTATCCCAGATAGCGCCGGAGATGGTGGCACCGATAGCGTCACCGATAGTACCGACGACGTTGAGGAGGGCCAGGGCAGCAGCGACGTGCTGGTGGTCGACGGCGGCCAGGATAGCGAGCTGCTCGATGATGATGAAGATACTGCCTCCGATGGAGATGAAAATCTGGCACATGACGAGGTAGCCGACGGATTGGTTGGGGCGACGGAAATAGATCATCAGACCCTGAGCGAAGATGTACAAGGGCACGGAGATGTAGAGGAGCCACTTGAAGCGGCCGGTCTTGCTGATCAACCAACCGACGAAGAGGAGCAGAACACCGGACACGACGTCGAACGTGTCACTGACGTAACCGGCTTCGGCAACGCTCAGGTCGTTGACAACTTGCAGGAAAGAGGTGAAGTAGTTGTCCCAGCAGTAGTATGAGAGCTGGTAGGTGGCGTCGAGGAGACAGGCACCAATAACGGTACGGTTGAAGAGGAAGCCGAACTTGAAAAGAGGCACGGGCGCAACGAGCCATTCGTACAGGCAGAAGAGAACCAGCATCACGACACCGACGACGATCATCGCGATAATGTAGCCCGAGGCCCAGCCGTCGGGAGCGTAGGAGGAGATATCGAAGGGAAGGAAGAAGACGCAGAGACCGGTAGAGAAGAGAAGGACACCAACAACTGGAAGGGGTTAGTTAGGTTGGGACGAGACACTGGAGGTATGGGGGAGATAATTGCGTACTGTCAAACTCGATGAAGTAGAACCAGACAAGCTGGTACCAGGTGCGGCCGTCGCGGTTGACGGCGACCAAACCCTGCTGCTGCGCGCGCTTTAGGTTGTGCTTCAGGATGAAGTACAACGGGGCAGCGACGACTGGGAAAATGATGGCGAACATGCCGAAGCCCCAGCGCCAGCTAAGGTGGAAGTCATCCGAAGCCTTAGGACCAGCAAAGGCCGTGATGATATAAGGGGAAGAGGTGAAGGCGTAAGCCAGACCTCGGTTCTTCAGCTTGGAGGCATCAGCAGTGATGACATCCACGCAGTAGGTCATGCCACCGAAGCCAATTGTGTAGAACACCTGGAAATTGGACTGGTTAGCACCAGAAAATTTTCACTTGATTAGCCGTAAAGGAAATCTTACATAGGCAGCACAGAAGGTGGGAAGGTTGTGGCAGGTGGCCATCAAAATCAGTCCCAGAGTAGCAAAGACAGCCATGGTCGCGAAACCTTCAGCACGGCCAGTTACGTCCATGATTTTCGCCAGAGGGATGTACACGGCGGCCGACATGCAGTCGGCCACGACATAGATGACGTTCAGGAGGGAGTGAGACTCCCAGGAACTGGTGACATAGGGGAGCAGGTTGTCAAGAATAGAGGACTGGAAAGCATTCACAAAGTACAAGAGCCAGATGCTAATCGAGAAAAAGCAAATAAAGTTAGCGAGGATACAATGGAAGAACAGATACCAAGAGAGACCACCTACTTGGCAAAAACGGCGATCAGGGACCATTTGGACCAAGACTTGGTGATAGCCTCAACGTCGTTAACACCAATCTGGAGGTGCGCTGAAGAGGCATCCTCGGAAACAGTTTCCTCAGAGTCTTCAGGACCACGGACTGCCTCATCAGCAATGGGATCATGCTTGGTTTCCTCGACGGTGTTCATGGTAACATTGTTGCCGGATTCTTCGGTAATAGAAGGGCTACGGCCAAAGGCCTCACGAAACTTTTCGAGCACGGCCATAGTGATAGTCCGACCTATCGAGAAGGCAGAAGAGATGATCGAGCGGGTAAAGCCAAGGAGGACAAGACAAGGACAAGAATCTGGGATTTCTTGGCCCTTATACCCAGGCGAACCCAGCTAGCTACGAGTGGCGGAGGACTAGTGTTGACAGGCCCACGCACAGATTGATAACCCCGAAGTCGGCTGCGGCGGCCGCAGCGGCCGCATCTGAAATCTTGAATCGAAGGGTGGCTAGGTTCGAGCGCAACTGGAGACCACTGGATCCCTGGAGACGAGCCAATCTAATCAGATGATGGCGCTGTCCTGCGCATTCCCCTATCTGATCGAACCAATAGCGGTCGTAGGCTGGTGATGATGCCCTACAAGGTCTACGTAACTATTCTAGCACAGGTGCAGAGATTGTTAGCGCCAACAGTTAGTCTGGCGATGGTGTGTAGTCGAACTAGCTGATTCGCAGCGTGTGCTTGTCCGGAAGACACGATGTGAGGCACGATAAAAATCCGTGATCTCCACCCGGAGATGAGGAGTGGGCACTGTATGACTGGCATGTTTTTCTGCGATCCACTCAAGGCACCAGTAATCTCTGCGTCTTTTTACCTGATCGATAGCTCCAAGGTCTCTAGACTAGACAGAGTCAAGGAGTGGGAGGCATCCACATCCGGGTCGAGCTGAGTCGTCTGATGATGCTGGATCGGGTCAACATCCCAATTCGGTGCCCACTCGCGGTATGGATACTAAGAGAATACTTGTACGAACCGTACGATACTGCTTACTGTATGGTCACAGCGGTCACCGGGAAAATGTTAACTAACGGATCCACTCTCATCACACAATCCAATTTCCCCTGGCGGCCACCGGAAAAACGAGCCTGGAGACCGTGGATGAAATACGGCTAGTCCGTGACTAAATCTAATCTGATCCATGATAAGATGCAAATGCCATCAACACCCGTTGTTGAGGGGTTTTCACTTTTCTCACAAGTCCAGTGGGTACTAAATTAAGCGATGGGGTACATTAGACTATTATTCCATGGTTCTTGTCTCCAAGTAGGTCGAAGGAATTTCCTCACGAGTAATTCGAGGCCAGGACACGGCTGGAAAATTCTGCAGCATGAGTGGCTCCATCGGGTTCTTCCGCCGAATAATGAGCGAGCTACAAGAACAACGCCAGATGATCCGGACGCCCCTTGCCGAACAGGCACACAACGCCGGATGGCTATCTGATTGCGGAGTAATCCGCAGACCGTACGTGAAAGCCCCCTCTTCGGTCTCACAACTTAGAGTTGATCCATTGTGGCGACCGTTTCTCTACAAACGCTCGAATACCTTCGGCAAAATTAGCTCCCTCCACCAGGCGCGGGTACGAGTGTTCCGCCAGCATCGACACCGCATCCTCCACGCTACCGGTCTCCCAACTCAACCGGATACCCTCTCGGCCAACAATGAGCGCGTCTGGACTGTTATTGCACATGACGCGGGCGATTTGAAGAGCTGCCTGTGCAACATCGTCACCAATATCCACCAACCGAGTCACCAGCCCCCAATCGTAGAGAGTCCTTGCGTCCACGCTGCGGCCAGTCAAGGCAAGGTCCATCGTGCGCTGCAACCCCAATGTCCGGGTCAGGCGTGGCAGGCAGCCGGCCACAGGCACAATTCCTCGCTTGACTTCCGGCAGCGCAAAGATGGCAGACACCGAGGCGATTACAATGTCGCAATTTGCTACCATTTCAAACCCGCCGCCCATGCAAATACCATTGACCGCTGCGATGATGGGTTTCTTGCCGCTTCGTCGGGGCAGGCCTGCTAGTCCGGGCGGGGACATGTCGTTGACAACTCCAGCTTCGTTCATTGCATTCCACTCTACCCGATTTAATAAATAAGCAATCATGTCAGAGTACAGAAGTATTTGAGAGCATAGGAAATAAGTATACCTTGTAAATCCGCGCCAGTGCAAAAGGCTCTCCCTGTACCAGTAATAATACCCACCCACAAGCTCTCATCCTGGTCGAACAGCTCCCAGACTTTTTGGATCTCCCGACTTGTACCCAGATCAAGAGAATTGAGCTTTTTAGGGCGATCTAAGGTCACCTGGACCACACGCTCGTGAGGAAACGAGACATGGAAATTTGGATGCTGTATGGGATGCGATCGGAGTGACATGGTCGAGGGTGTGAATGATTGATAGGCTTATCTGATTGCGGGACAGCCGGACCAGCTCGCGCTACTTTTATACTTTTGTAAAGGACTATGCTGGGGTCCAGAAGGCGGCATAATATGCGATATCGGTGGGCCCAAGACCGTGCCAAAAGGGGGTCGAGAGCAACCAAGGACGGGCCATTGGCGGACACCCACCTGAGACACCTTCCAAGCTCGTTATCTGTCTTCCTCGGTTGTTCTGTCTAAATTGCCCCGGCTTTCTATATAACCGTTTGCCTCGGTCGCAGCGCTCCATTTTCATTTCCTCCTTCCTTCTTAAATCGCCCCTTGTCTCTCTTCTATACATTGTCTTCATTAGACATTTAACAGCGAGCGAGGATGAGTCCCAATACTACTGCCAGCTCCCAGTACCCACTGGTGAAGCTTCCTCATCCCTTTCTGACCGCATACCGCGTGCGCACCGTTGCCGAAGCCGAAACGTCACCAGCCAAACTCAGCTTGACTTTTCATGATCAGCCCCCAGCCGGCCGATCCCCCCCTCAGCCTCTACACCTCGACTCTCTTTCGTGGCTTGAATTAGCACCCCCTTCCCCGAATACTTGTCCTCCCCCTTCAAACAACACAGCCTGGGCACGAGCCCGTCGCGCACCCAAAACCACGTTCCAATGGACTGAGACCACACCGACATTGGGACAGATCTGGAACGTTGTCCATACTATATACCTTGCCCATCCAACCCATGAATACTTCAGCCTGGCCCTGTCCGGCGCAGGCCAGGATGTCCTTCGCACTGAGCTCCTCGCGACCGGACTTGGAATTGAGCATCCTAAGGCCACACGGCCTGATGACCGCGCAGTCCAGCCTTCTACCGACCTATTGATCCTCCGCAGTTCTTTCTGGCAAGGCGCCGCGTCGCCAATGGGCCCGCGTCCCATCTGGGTGGTGGGCGACGGCACCGATGGCTCTCTGCGAGAGCCTTTATCGCAATACCCACCCATGCCGGAGAACTATCACTTCACGCAGAAGTTTCCCGAGGAGCCTATTTATGCCAGACACCCGATCCGGCGGCCCAAGCCAGCTCCTGGCTCGATTGCCTACAGTCGCTATATCCCTGAATTGGATGAGCACTTCTCTCTGGAAGTTGTAGATTGGCAGGATTCAAGCCATTTGCAGCTCTTTAATACCTGGCAGAATGATCCCCGTGTGGCAAAGGGATGGAATGAGACAGGCACACTGGATGAACACCGCGAGTACCTCCGGAAGTTGCACGTTGATCCGCATGTACTTTGCTTGTTTGGGCGCTTCAATGAGACAAGGTTCTCGTACTACGAGCTCTATTGGTCTAAGGTATGCTATTGTCCCCTGATTGTCTCATGGTCGTGTTTTTGACAGCTGCTAACACCGGGATAGGAGGACCATTATGGTGCGCATTATGACGCCCATGACTACGATCGCGGAAGGCATTCGTTGGTGGGCGATGCGTCCTTCCGTGGCGCGAAGCGGGTCAACGCGTGGTATTCGAGTTGCATCCACTACTGCTTCCTGGATGAGCCAAGGACGGTGAACGTGGTGGGTGAGCCACGCGCAACAGGGGCAACGATTCTGTCGTATGAGAATGCGCAGGGTCTGACGATCGGCAAGTACGTCGACCTGGGCCACAAACGGTCAGTTCATTCCATCTGCAGCCGCGAGAAGTGGTTCCAGCTGTGCCCGATATTCTGGGATGGGCGTGAGCGACCGTTGGAATCGGCCGACCGTGCGGCGTGGAATGCCAAGCTGTAAACTGCTTGGTCTGCATCAACGAGAAATGAAAATACGTACTGGCCGGACATGTCCCGGAGACTAGTCCTCCAGTGGAAGCGAGGGCCCCACTGCTGCACTATCTAACCCTAGATAGCAATCTTTCAATACCATACTGTACATTATTCATTTGCTCTGGTCTCCACTTCCGTACCGGTCACTTTTCCGCCGTATCCGGCCGCATCGCTGTCGACCACACCACCCGGTAGGAGGAAAACTGAAGCCACCTGCAAGCCAGCCTACATGCATGATACAATCATAAAACTGCTAGAGAGACGTGAGATAGATGTATGGACCAATCGGCAACCAGTCATCAGACTGACTCATGAGACCCTTTTGTATTGTGCAGGTGCTCGTGTGCAAGCCTAGCTATATATTTCTAGAGTCGACGAGTCCATTCACCAAACTGTCTTCAAAACAACTTGAAAGACTGAACGTTCTATACTTACTATTTACTACTTGAGTACCTGGCTTGTATCTTGATATCTCTATTACTATCTAACATCATACATACATCAACGTAGACATCCGATGTGGATACAGGCTTCCTGTGCATAACCCACTCAAACCATCATCAGCTTAATTGCCCCCGTAGTGCGGATAGACATAAGGTGAGGCAAGCAACAGAACTGTTGCTACCAGGCCATATTTCACCCAGTCCCGTCTAGCCGGCAGGCCGGTCGAGTCCTGCGTAGGATATCTATAGCCAGTCTCAAGCTGATTGGCAGCATTCCATGTCTCGTGGATCTGCTGTTTCTCCGACAAAGCACAAGATTCATCGGACGTACCACTTCAGAAGGTCAGAAAATCCCAAAACACATCATCGTACACGAAGAAAGAGAAAAAGGTGTATTACTCGTTAACCACTGTCTTCAAATGCCCCATGACCTTTTCCACCAGGAACCGTCTTGGCTCTGCCTGATCATCGTTACTGAGGGCATGCGACGCGTTCGGAATGACGGCAGTGTGCTCATCGTCCCAGATCTCTTCGCCCTCCGCACATCCAGCATTTGCGATCCCCCGCCATTTCCTCAACAATGCCTCCTTATCCACCCAGTCAGGAACACTCTGATCCTTACCCGAGTATAGCACCATCAACTTCGCCTTCTCTGCCAACAAGCCGCCGCTCTTTACCTTCCCGAAGGTCTTCTGCAACTGCTCCGGCCCCAAGTCCGAACTGAACATGTCGTCCTCCCCAGGGTTACCCGGAGCATCTGGACTCACTAAACTCAACAGCCGCCTCGCCGACAACGGTGTGTTAGCCGGATAGGCGAAACTAGTCAATTCAATCGGCAGAATCACATCGAACTCTCCACCCTCCCTGATTCTCTTCTCCTCTGCCTCCTTTGCCATGTTCACCAGCTTCTCATAGACCGCTTTACACTCCGCGGAAGATCTGCCTCCAAACCCATTCTCCAACACCCACAATATCGCCTCGCGATCCGACACAGGTGCTTGCATAATAGCTCCGTCCAGCGGCAACCGTTCCACATGCTCCAAGTACTTATCAAAGGGTGGTTTTGTGGTATGGGGGTTCGGCCGCGTTAGGTAATGCATGACGCATTGGCTGCCGGTGGAGTGTCCCATCAAGACGATCTTGCTGCTAGCTGCAGAGGCAGAGCCGTATTTATCCGCTTTGTAGTCTTTGATGTAGCGGATGCATTGGGCAATTTCGTCGGTATCGCGGTCCAGATGGCCCAGACCCCAGGATTGGTAGGAGGATGTGAGGTTCAGGGTGAAGAGGGACCAGGGGGTGGAGTGGAGGGCACGGGCTAGGTCGGCCATGTAGGATGTTGTGGCGAGGCCATCGCCGAGGCCGCCGACGAAGAGGAGGGTGTGAGGTTGGGAGAGGGAGGGGGTAGTGGTAGTATATTCGAAGGTTACGAGGGTTTCTGTCTATTATTGAGGGAATATTGTGTTAATTTGGTGGGCTTGGAGTCGGAGGGGTTAGGACTGGACATACGAAGTGGTGGAGGATTCCCGGAAGGCCGCCCTTGGGCCAGAATTTGGAGTACATGTTTGCTTGTTGTGAAGTGATTATATGCGTATGTGTTTAATGATAGTGTGGAAGATGAAGTAGCCTTGTGTAAAGTAGAATGATGTGTAGAGTAGTAGGTGTGTGTAAAAGGTTGAGCCAAAATTCCAGAAACAATCACTGCAGCTAGGCTTGGCTTATGTACTTTGTAATCTCTTATCTTTACGGCAGTTGACGGTGTGGCTATCACCGGAACCAAGTACTCCCGGGAATGGACTCCTCGGCTGTTTCAAGAATTTTGGGATGTTGAGGGTGCTGGTGGGGTTCATCAGATAATGAGTGAGACAAATTTGCCATGGATGTATGGTAAGCGGGTGACAGTCGGACACCGAAAAGGTGTTTCTGAATACGTAGTATTTCAAAGGCGGTAATGGATGGTATGTGGGTACCTAGGCAGACCCTAATGCGCTTGTCGTATTCTTGATCCACCGGCGGATAAAAGAAATCAGTTGAGAGAAAGCGAGATGTCTCCGGCGGGTGTAGCCGTCGGTATATGCAAGATGCGGTGATGCCTTAGTTGTCGCGATGCCAAACTGCATACTGGCAGCGACGTAGACAGAGGCCCGTAACTACATTAGCTATTCCTGAGCTTTACAGTGATCTCTCTATATATCAATAGGTACTTTTTCTTATTGTTCTTCTTCGGTCAAGAGTTTATAATGATGCAACAGAGGCCAATATACAAATATTGGGGAGTCGCTGGACACCGTCTGCAAGCTATAGCTGCCTGGTTATCCTACATTAGCTGAAACTTTCCTACATGCGACACCAACCCAAGTCAGTATCTGAATCCGAGTAAATGCCACGTGCGAGACGAGTGGACTCTGATTGTGGACTCGAGGTTCCTGAGAGCCGAAATCTCCTACTTTGAGGTCTCATTCGATTCTCCTACTCCAAACTCCATACTCCGTAAATCAACGGATTATCAGATTAGATCAGATACTCGGCGATAACACTCGTTCGGGCTAGGTAGCGCGATTATCATACGACTCGGACAATGGTAGCATAAATTAGATACCAGAAGAATGGTCTCAGACGTTGCTACCCAGTATAGCTTGAACAATGAGAAAAGTAACAAAATGGGGGGAAAGGAACAAAAAAAAAAGAAATATGGTGCGCAGCGCACTGTGCAGAACTCAGTTGCCACCCCCCTGCATCAAGCTGCGCTGTAGCTTGATCAGAATAACCCATTGAATGAGAGTATCTGCATCTCCCATGGCTCGGAGAATTAATTCGTATGAGGGATTAATCACGACAATCCTACCTCCTCACCCAAACTAACCTGTTTCGGATACCTTAACCAGCTAAATTTCTGGTGGTCTGTGGACCTGCAGCTATCTGATCTGATTAGTTTTATCAATCACCAACCCCACTTGTCACATACTAGCGTTGTTACTAGCGCCCTTTACAATTACTAGCTCAAATACATTTATTACATACACCACAAACGACCTGTTATCCATCACCCCCACTCAACGACAAATATCCTGATAACTGGACCCACGGGTCGCTCATTTCCGACAGGCCTATGTAACAGGACACAGTAACTAGGCTAGTCAAGAAGACAATAAACAATTAACCAATTCTATGACTCATTTTAATTCATCGCTGCAAATTACGTAGTATAAACCTTACCTAAGTTCCAGTCCTCGCAAAAGACCGGATCCTACCAAGCAACTTAGATCAGATAACTTTTTCCCAGTTACACTTCTCACACCTGCGGGCTAAATCATGTCATGCCGTGTCTCACTAATTCTCGGCTAGACGCTTGGCGTACGTGGTCTGTGCAAAATTCTTTTGCCCGGTAACTTTCACAGGCCGGCTTGTCTGTCCGTTGGTGCCCGTTTGATCTCGTGTTCCACTGCTGCAAACTGCAGTATACCCGCAGCCGTGTGGTGGATTCCACCGCCGATCTCGGTAGTATCATAATAAATGATGATAATATTAGGACTGGGGGGGTTGTAAAACTTCACGGGATGTTCGGAAGAGGGTCAGTAGTAATCTGATCCGTTTGTGTTTTCTGGGACCTCGGATCAGATAATAAAAATAATATACATGGTGTCCACCTTCCGTGCGTTGGGCACTTATTGAACTTGACCCTGGGTGAAATAATTGCATTGAGATTGAAGTCATTCAGTGGTTCCTAACTACTTGCCCCTCTTTTCCCCCCTCATCCTCTTCTCGCCTCTCATTCTCCTCCCACGCAGCTGGACTGGATTTTACTGAATTGCCGAATGGGCAACACACACACTACAAGTCCGCAGGGACAAGAAGATTCACACGATATGGCAGGTGTACATACACTAGAGGCCACCGGCCTGGGTGCCGATAATACCCCCTCAGGCATGAAGGAAGAGCTTCTCCTCGTTTCGTGGCTCATTGTGCTCTTGCGTACGAGAGAAGATGGCCAGGCATCCTTTGAATGGGCCTACAAGGGCGACGAGCCCAGTCCAGCCAACCGCTGTCTGTCGACAGAGGTAATGGCCGACTTGCGAAGCAGTGTGGGGCAGACTGCTGCTGCAATTGCTCGCAAGCACACTACTACCCCCGAGACAGCACCATCGGGATCGCTTGCGCTGCTCCTCAGCACCAGCACGCTGTCTCAGACCACTGAGGAGCCGAACGAGGTAAGCCGCGACCGCAACTTATACCGTCGTAACAACTATAAGAGAGCCAGGCTAATGAGATAAACGCACAGGGCATCATCCACCTGGAAGCGCGCTATAATGCCAATAATCTCGAGATCAAGCCCGTTTGGCACTCCGAAGTCATTCCCCCCTATACCCTTACCCGCCACATCAACAGCCTCATCGACACGGTGCAACTGGTCCTCTCGAACCCCGATGCCACTATTGAAGAGTGCCTCCGTCCGACCGCCAGCGACATCTCTGACATTTGGTCATGGAACCACAAACTACCCCCAGCATACGACTTCGGCATGCACGAAGTGATCTCGGAACAAGCGCGCAAAACTCCCGACAAGGTCGCAATTGACTCCTGGGACGGCAGTCTCACCTATGGCGTGATCGAGCGATATTCGGCGTATGTCGCCATGAAGATCCA